GAAGGCGTGGGCGTAGCGTAGATAGCCACCCGACTCGTTGAAACCAATACTTTTGCCAATCGTGTAGCCTCCTTGGGCGGTGTAATTCGACCGCCCGCTACAGACGTGGGAAGGCATATAGAGTAGTCTTCCGTTATCGTCAGAAGTTTTAGCAGCAACCTCCTTGTGTCACACGCCTTGCGTTGTGTGTATCTCTTTATGCTTGCGTTGAAAACTTCACAGGGATTGTTCGTAGTTGCAAAAGCCCCCGGCGAATGAAAAATCTGCCACCGCCAGAAGCGACTAGCGATCCATTGACTGTAGAAATAGTTCGTGAAAGTTTCTAGTCTTCCGTCCAGGAGCCATTTCTGAGAAATGCGATTCCGCTCCAGATATAGATGGTCCCTGCTAAGCGTGTAGTGCATATCTAGAACTCCGCGGTACACAACAGCTCGAAGGGCTGCGGCAAGGTGCTGCATACGCTTACGTACGTTGTATAGTACGTGGAAAAAGCACATAAGGTAAATGCTGTTCTCAAATCCACTGATAGCAACTAATCCATTTACTTGAGCCTTCTCCGCGTCTCCCATCACAGCATCGATACGCAGTGCCACACCCAATCGCTCCCGAAAAACCCTGACGAAACTACCAACAGCCTCATAGTACTCACGCTCAGTTCTCTGGCTCACAATAAACATACTGGCTAGGTGGTAGATTCTTCGGCGGTCAGTAAAGCCACAGGTTATAACTGGATACCCCAGGTCACTGAGTTTGAAAGTTGCATCGAGGTGAAAAATCAAGAAGTTCTCCTTCTGCTGTAGCGCCAGAATAGTTTGCATGAGTTTCAGACTGGTTATACCCAAAATCAAAGGTTCATCGTCCTCGCCATTACCCACAAACGGAAATCCCCTTTCGTCCTGTCAGTTTCCAAATACGAACGCCGACTCTGGGTCAATATCGGCTCTGAATGCTTTCGAAATGACCAGCTCGCGTGTCTTAAGTATTGAGTTCTTCGATCCGTGCAGCCATCGATTGTAACGAACGTTTCGCTGGACCTGGGCGCACGATGGAAATCCTAGCGCTGGGGAAGGAATCTCCGGTGCTCGCAGAAGATTACTCCATATTAAGCGTGGTGGTACTGCGCTCTCATCCATGCGTTTGATGTACTCCCGCATTTCAGGAGTAACGCGTGGGCGTGGTCCTACAGCACACGGCGTATCGCCTCGTGAATGCTTCTCAGTGTTCTCGAGAACGACCCACGTCGACGAGACTTCGCAGTGTTGAACTTTCCATTGCACTGCACACTTCTTCGGCAACCCCGACCCTCCGCAAGTCGGGCTCTTACATTGCAGGCGGCGCTCGACCATTTCGTGATCTCCTGCGCAAAAGCTGCACCATTTTGTTCTCACTGAAAAAATGCTCGAGCAGCAAAAATGATCCCATCGATACTTGACGAAGTCGGACTCGACATGCAGCTCGGCACGCTTGGTCCAGAAGAGTTTGGGGGGCATCGTGCAGACGTTTGGGTGGTGGTCAGGTAGGAGAGTATCTGACCCTTTAGGCGGAGGTTCAGAATTATTCGCCAGACGGAGTAGTAGAGACAAATTCAGCGTAAGCGGGCTTAAGTTTTTATATCCCTACAAATGTGCTCTTTAGGACAAATAAAAATTGTGCTTAGCACCAAACGTTTTTCCATGCAAATTTAATACCTTTTCTATCGACTTGGTGGTTAGCATTATTATGTTCAATGGTTGCACTGGACTGTGGATCGGTAATTATGAACGGGCGGGGGTTCACATTTACTTGACAAAGTCAGGTAAATGTGAACCAGCGGTTCAGAATTAATTGACACAGTCAGGTAAATGTGAGCCAGCGGCTCAAAATTAATTGACAAAGTCAGGTAAATGTGAACCAGCGGTTCAGAATTATTTGACAAACTCAGGTAATTATGAGCGTTTCGCCCGTTTTGTGCAGCGAAAAGTGCAGACGTACGTAAAAGAGGTGAAATCCCACGTCCTTTCTTTAAGTGTTTGCTAGTGGTCAGAAAAGTGTATGCCAGCGGTCAGTTCGAGGCATAAGTGTTTGGTCGTGTCAAATTATGTCTACCGTTCACCTAAAAGTGTTTATTTTTGGCCAGAAAAGCGTATGCTCTCGTACCAGACTCCCTGATTTACTAAAAAAAATGAAAAAAAAAATTGATTAGGAGGGTGTGGACGAGAAAAAAAAACGTACTTACGTAAAACAAAATCGTACCTATGGGGAAAGTGGTGAGTTCATGCTGTTATGTTTCGGCTGAATGATAACAATCGGATGCCTACGACAAAAAGACGGCTACAGTGTTTCTTATCACTAATCAGCTAGCGCTCATTTGATTTTTTGGTCTTAAGATTGAACTTTTGATTAAATGTGGCCCTTTATTTCCGGACAGAGGAAGTCATTAATTTTGCCCGCCCATCCTGCTTATATATTCGGGACGGAGGAAGTACCAATACATTATTGGCCATTTGCAACCCGGGTTGTATTTCTTGAAATCCGAAGCTACGATTGGCTGTCTTCTCGGTATCAGCCAGATCTGAGGTCGATACCGTGCCTAGATGTGGAGTGCCGTTTGCAACTATCGTTGCATGTACGGTAGCGTGAACGGTCGACTTTTGCAACCCTAGTATACAAATTTCAAGTCAAGTTACCTATAGTGAAGCTAAGTCACGGTTGCAAACGAGAGGGTACACAGCTCGTATACAAAAACTAAGTCATGGTTGCAACGTGAAAGATTCAGTTTGAAAATACAATCCACCACAATGAGCACTAGCCGCTACAAGGCAGAGCTCGTAAAGTTCATGTCGTTCAAGGACGACAAGGAGTACACTGCTAGCCACGAATTCACGCCAGCGGACCTCCTCAGTATCACGCCTGGACTGCTGTGCCGCTGGATGAACACGCGGGCCTACGGAGATTCAGAGCCAAGCGAAGACATGAGGCCTGTTCACCTTCGGTCGAGCACGCTGGAGTTCGCCAAGAAAGCCATCTCAGCGTACATGCCTAGGATCAACGCACCATGGGACCCTGTGGCCATGCAAGGCAATCCAACACGCTCCGATGATGTCAACAAGCTCATAAAAAGAGTCAAGCGCTTTGAAGTTCGTCGGGAAGGTGCTGAGTCAAAAGCTCGTCGCTCTTTTGAATTTGATGAATTCATGAACGTGTTGACGCTGGTAAGATCGCTGCATTCACGCTCTGATGAACAACTCATGGTTAGCAGTGTTTTGACACTGCAGTGGCATATTGTTGCTCGCATCGACGACATGATGAAGCTTCAATTTAACAATTTCACTCACAACACTCAGTACCCGTCTACTATTCTATGTCAAATGCGATGGTCGAAAAATATATCCGAAGAGAGAGACGCTCCGGAGCAGATTGTGGTTGGTAGTATGGATCCCAGAATGTGTCCCCTGCTCAATCTTGCAGTATACATCGAGGCAACGGTGAATGTGGCAAGATCTTCTTTCTTATTTGGAAATCCAAACGATAAAGATCGAGTGGTGAGGCGTTTTCTAGCTGATACAATTAAAAAATCGGAATTTAAGTCGTTGAAGACGGGAAAGCTGGGAACGCACAGCTTCCGTAAAGGTGCTGCTACTTATGCGACTCGTAGTGGTGTATCTAAAGACTTTGTCAATCGGCGAGGACGGTGGAGAACTCGCAAAGGCGTCGTCGACGTGTATATCGACAACACTCAGCCTTATCCGGACGCATGCACCGCCGCAGTCCTTGCTGGTCCAGCTGGACCTTGCTTTTACTCGCTGAAAGAGGGCATGCGGTGTGTCACTACACCACTTCTCGTCGACGAGATTGCTCCAACAATTAAACAGGTCATGGGAGAGCCAATAGCAAAAACATTGGCACAGGTGTTACTGTGGGCTGCGCTGGAGACGGATTCCAGCTTTAATTATTGTCTTCTTCCGGAAAAGCTGAAAAAAAGAATTTTACGGGCTTACATTAACGCCGGTGGAAGTACGAATTTGAATCCGATTCAAAGACAAGAATTTTATGTCTTGGGGGACGGGTCTCAGCTCAATCTCGTCGTTATTGACAAAACGCAAGAAGTGGAATCTGGTGTTGGTAGTATTGTTTCTGCAAGAAGTGCATTGGTAGCGGGCTCCAATGGACAGGGGACTCAACGTGAAATTGCTGCTGTACAATCTCAAATAGCGTCTGGCCGTCGCTACATGGCAGAGGTTATGAATGAAGTACTGCGGTCCCGAAGCGAGTCACATCGAGAGATGCAAAAGATACAAGCTATCTTGAGACGGATAGCCATGCAGCCGTTCACACCTCGTACTACTGATGGGCACGGAGTACCGTATCCACCAACAAACACTGCTCAAGGTGGATTTCGTGGACAAAACGCGGCACGTCTTTCAAAGAGACCTAAAGACCTGTATGAACTTTGGCACGAGTATCAGCTCGGATCCGGTGGGCTAAAACCAGCCAAGGAGTTTACATCCATTGAGCGAGGCGCAAACAAGTTCGCCTACTCCAGGCGGAAAGTCTTCTGGGATGTTATTTCTCAATTGGTTCGCTCTGGACACACTAGCGACTCTGCAATAGATAGAGTGTATCAAACGTACGGTAGGAATCTCTCTGTGTCTAGTATTTTAGTTAAACTTCGTACAGATCGTAGACGTGGAGGACATCCAAGTCTGCGATTGTAGCACTTCAACACGGTTCAATTCAGCCAATCAAACCTTATCCTTCGAAATATTAGCCTATCAAAACTATGGTTGCAATCCAAGTTGCATAAATGACTAATATTTATACAGTACTGTACGAAGTAATCACTGAGTACAGCGGGACACTTGCCGTAGTCACAAATCTTGTTTGAACGTGCCAACAGATCTATCCAGCTGTATTTTAATTAATAATGGCCGCACACCGCTCACTCTGATATTTCCCCGTTCCAGCACTCTTATGACATGCAGTGAGCAATTTACTTCGGAGCGAACCCCGGACACACCCTGATGATGCGACTCTACCTTACTGCGCTGTTAAGTGCAATTTCAGCTCTACTAGCGCCGGGTGGAAGTGCCCCAGTGTCTGCTCTTCCAGACTTTCCGGCTGGCTACTTACCATGTAATGAACTACGTACATTAACAAACGCACCTGAAGAATCTCCATCCCACAGGCGATTGAGAATTTCCGATACACATGATGACGAAGACAGAATAAAAAGTATCAGCATTGAAAAACTATCGGGGTTGATTAAGACTGGAGTATCGAGGATACATGGATACCTATATTTAGGACCGTCAGCAACTAGAGAACAACCAGCAGATGAGATTCTTCGAATGTTCAAGCTTGAGGATGGAATAGAGAAGGCCTTGGCTAGTTCTAACTTGAAGACCATGGAAACTTATGTGAAGGAACTGCGCACCAAGAACCGAAAGAGCACGACGTCAGTGCTTGGAATACTCACGAATCACTACGGGGACGACGCAGTAGCCAGTGCACTTGTGACTGCACCGCATAATACCATTATGAAAGACATGGAGGATACGATATGGCGATTACGAAACACACAGCTTTCAGCTTGGCTGAGTAGCGACAAGTCTGTCGACGATGTTTTCAACCTGCTAAAGCTCCGTCAAGATGGCTACCTAGCTCTCGCCAGTCCAAAGTTGGAGGTGCTGGACGACTACATAAAGCTGATTATCCGCTCCAAATCCAGCCAAGAAACGTTGCGTGATGTGTTAACGAGGGGATTTGGAGAGCGGAGATTGGCCAGACTGCTAGTCCGTGCGAAGCAAGATGACCGAACAAAAGAACTGGCGACGGCACTGCAAAATGCGATTTTAAACAAGTGGGTTACAGACAAGTTGCAGCCGGTCAACGTCCTACAACGACTGAGATTGGATAGAGGTGTCACCAAAGCTATGACAGACTTGAACCGAGACACTTTGACGAGGTACATCTCGCTGTTTAAAACACATAATCCAAGCAGTAAAACGTCATTCATTGGTACGCTTTCCGCGCATTATGGAGACGATGCAGTTGCGAAAGCACTCGTGACGGCGTCGTCGGATGCGAGTACAAAAGAAGGCGCGATTCAGCTACGGAGTGAGCAGCTGACTGACTGGCTGAACAACGAGAAGACTGTCGACGAAGTTTTCAAGCTGCTAAAGCTTCGCGATGACGGAGAAGTCGGTCTAATTAGTCATAAGTTGGAGGCTCTAAAAGATTACATCAAGCTATTCAACCGCGAAAGAACAGGAGATGAGACTTTACTCAAGACGTTGACGACTGGATTCGGCGGAGAAAGTGGATTCTCGAACATTTTACTAGCAGCAAAGGCCGATCGACGTACAAACACAGTGGCTATGTCATTGCAAAGCGAGCTACTTCATCAGTGGCTTAAGAGCGGATTGCAGCCGGGAAGCGTCTTGAAGAAGCTCAAATTGGACCGTGGGATAACAGAAGCACTCTCCGATGGAAACATCCACACTTTGACAGCATACATTTCGTTGTATAGCACACAGAATCCAAGTAATGCAGTATCGCTGATTAAGATACTATCCGCGCATTATGGAGACGATGTTGCCAAGGCACTTGCCATGGACGATTTTGCCACGACTGAGCTGGCGTCCAATCTGCTGACACAGCAGTTGCAGCTGTGGCTGAAATCTGTTGGAGACGTTTTCGCGATACTGAATGTTGGACACCTCGATTTCTTGTCCATGAAGAGTCAGAAGTTGCAGATTTTGGACAGCTACTTGAAGATGTATAACGCCAAAAATCCGCTTGACGCCAAGAGTATGTTCGCGGTAGTAAGAAAGGGCTTTGGCGGTGATGCCGGGCTTGCACGTGTGATTGGTAAGGCGCTTGTAACCTCGCAAAATGAGCCGAAGATGGCTCTCAAATACCAGAATGAGCTATTCAACCAGTGGTTCAATAGAAACATTGAGCCCAAGAACGTTTACGTAGAGGTCCTCAAGATCAAGAAGCGCTCTGCAGACTTTACAGCAAAGGGGGTCGCTAAACGATACAAGAACTATTACAAGAAACGGGTGGGGGAGGTTATAACCTTTAACAATCCAAGGCGGTCTTAAGAAAAAAAAAGCGTTATTAGATGTTTCAATCCTAATTCCAACGGAGCGTGCATAATCTGCATTGTTTTACGATCAGCGTGGAAATTAAATTATGTTTGCAAGTTGGGAGGAGTCGACGTCCTGTTAGCCAAAATTGCTAAAAATGGAAGAGACAGACGTTCGTATGACGCGTATCTTCACTACCAAACCTTTTCGGATGAATGTCTTAATCATATCATGTAAAACTGTCTTGACTGAGAAAAAGTGACGATAAAAAGCGCTTCTGTCGCTTGTATCCTATGCAAAATACGGTTAACCGTGAAGAATTGCGGTGCGCCACCAATAACGTGTGTTTTACCGCCGCGCCTTTTTCCTGCTGACCATGCCCAAAACCATCTTGCGCCGCAGCGGCTTATCTGTCGGCAGAAAATTCGATGGTTAAGTGGCAAGATATCGTACTTAAAAAAATCATATTACCGGTAGTCAGAATCACATGAACGTAAGCCACTCTAAAAGCCTACAGCTCATGGTCTCTTCCAGCTATTCGATGATCGGTGGGCTGGGATGAATAGTTGGTATCAGCGCAAAATAAAATGGAGTAGGGTCTTCGCTTGTGACCACTCCGGTCTACAAACGCCTTCAATCGTTGAAAGCCCCGAAACGACGAGGAACTATCTTCTCGTTGTAGTATACTGTGTATCGGCTTACAATCATATCATCCAAATGACTAGCAGAAGCCTCTTCAACATCGAGGAATCTGGAGTAAATGCTTTTTGGTTCTGCCTTGCTGCGGAACCAGCGCTTAAACAGCAACCTTTCGTACTCAGCACCAAAAGAGACGAGGGAGTCGATGTTGTGAACGCCTATCGACTCAATTGCACCAAAAACCGCGCGTGCAAATTTGCCTTCGCCACCAAATCCATCGCTTAGCACCGTGAGAATGTCGGTCTTGTATCCGGGATTAATGACGTTGATCCTCTTAACGTACTGCTCCAAGAGATGGAGCTTCGTACTTGCCACGGATACAAACTGGTTCTTGTTCGGGATGTTAAGGTTTAACTTAAGCAGTCTGAAGATGGTGTCGGGCAGGCCTCTGCGATTTGAATTATCATATTGAATAATATCGCATATTGGGAATGCAATTATGTATTGAGCAGCGAGTAAAATTGCAAGCATTTTTTAGCATTTTATCAGTTATTCTAGGTTAATACTGTCCACCAAAACTACTGGTTGCCACCACCTCAAAAGAGACTTTACGAGCCTTGTGCAATCTCCTCAGCTCATTCGACCTTTTGCAGTCATCCCAACAACTCTTCAGCCCCCTTTCGCCCAAGTACCCCATGAAATTTACAAACAAGGACATCTAAACGCGTATCTGGCTGATCATGAACCCATGTTGGCCAAGATACACGCGCTCATGAAACACCTGAGCACCATCAAGTGTCGTGCTGCCCTTCGCAAGGTGACCTCTCTAGCGCCCGTCATGCCCAACGCGACTCGTTGGTCGAGTACCTACAGCAGTACGACAAGATTTGTAGCGCTCTTCTCGCGTTGTACCACGCTACGGTGGCTAAGCATGACATCGCGCGCTTTCTACTGACGCCAGAGGAAACCGAAGCCGCTCGCTTCCTTCTCAAGTCGCTGCACGAGCTGAATGAGGTGAGTAAGACGCTACAAGACTCAACTCTAACAGTGGTGGGTGCACGACGTGCCTTTGATGCAGTGTTGCGCAAGTACCCCCGCATGAAGACCCGGCTTGCAAGTGACGCCTCCGTCGTGAACAATCCCGAACTGGAGAGCGGCATCGTGAAGATCATTGGCGGTGTCGGCTGAATGCACGCGAACAAGCGGCGTGTATTCATCTCAAGCGCAGCAGCGACGACACTGTGGTAAACCCAGCAGTTTCCACGTCATTTCTCGCGTCGGCCTTCAAGAAGGCCCCTGTGGCGCGCTCCCCATCGCAATACTTTCCTCTCGAGTGGGTTCCACCCACGTCGAACGAGTGCGAGCGTTTCTTCAGTCAAGCCAAGCTGGTTCTGACCGACCTAAGGAAAGCCATGGACCCTAACACTCTTGAACTGCTTATGTTTCTATCCTACAACAAGAAGGATTTAGTGTTAAAGCTATCAGGCAGAGTATGGGTAGTCAACTTCGGGAATAATGCCATTATTATTGTCTTGGCGTAATAGCAGCCGAATATATTGAGTATGGCATATTGGGGAACCCTGGTGTCGGGAGATTTGCCGCTTTTCAACCACGCATCCATTTGCTCTCTTAAGCTCTAAAGCCGTCGCCTTCGTGGCCTCATGAGACCTCGCAGCGCTGAGCGTCTCCGCCACTTCACCGTCCCCATAATTCCTGATAAATGTCTCGATCAATGACGTTTTGGTACGGGGATCCTTGCGTTGTACATCAAGATAAAAAGTGTGATAAGTTGGGTCCAGCAGAGCTTCATCCATGTACTCGTTCAGTTTGAGCATCTTCAGCACATCTACAGGTCGCGACTTACTCGAAAGCCATTTATTCAGTAGCGCGTTCTCCATCGCATTCGCCAGCTCACTCGTCCGGGGATCTTTCTTCGCACGAATAAGCAGATTGGCCAGGTTGTGCTCCCCGTCGAAACCTTTCGTCAAGACTTGAATCAACTTTACTTGTCCTGATTTTTCACGGTTGAACATCTTCATGTAGTAATCCAATGCTTCTAGCTTCGGACTTCCGAGAGCACTGTATCCGTCTTTCTGTAGCTTTAACAGCTTGAATACGTCGTCGACCGATTCATCATTCTTCAGCCAACCCGACAGCTGAGCATTTCGCAGCTGCAGAATTGTTTGAAGCTCACTTTCACTCTTTTTCGTCCTCTACGCGGATACGAGTACCGCCGCCACTGCATCATCTCCATAGTATACCGAAAACACTCCAAGTACCGACATTTTGTTCTTTCGTTTGTATTTGTTGACTGACCTTAGATAAGTTTCCATTCTCTTGACATCAGGACTACTCAGAGCCCTGTCCAAGCCGTTTTCTAGCCTGAATAGCTTGAGGATATCTTCTGCGCTCTGGCTGATTGGTAACCAGTACCCCAAGTTCAAATTTTCACCAATCTTTACTGCTCCCGTCTTGATCAGCCCTGCCAGTTTTCCGATCTCACCGCTTATCATCCTGTCTTCTTTTTCTTCGCGGAATTTCTCAAAAGTCGTCTCGCAGACGAATCTTCTGGCTTGATTGAACGCATTTGAGGTAAGTTCAAACCCTGCGCTTCCGAGACGACAGTCGTAAAACCCCAATTGGCACATACCAGCAAAATTGAAGCACCACACAATAGCGGTTTCAAGCAGAGCCACATGGTTACAGGCTTGAAAATTTGCGACTGGTTAACCCCCAGGAGAGCAAGCACTTTCGACCATTCTACAAATATTTTTGTCTCGTCCATGGAAGTGATACGAGTTCTTTTCTGTAATCAACGCTTGTTGCAGAATGGCGTCAGAAGAACATCTGTTTACGACAACACATCAGATTTTTAAGATCTAAAACCGACCACAGTACAAGTAATTTATTTTAAACGACGAGGCGAAAAGAATCTACATTTTATCGCAGAAACTGAATTTAAAGTACATACATGTCACAGACGTGTGTTTTTACACTTAATTGTGTATCACAGGATTTTTCACATAAAATGCGTGTACCACGTACACTAGCACAGTTTGGGACTTTCGTGAAGATCTTGTGGTCTTGCAGAATGGGTAGGAGAACGCTGGCACGAGAGCTCGTTCACAGTAGGCTGGAGCACCTCGCCGATGTGAAGAAAAACCTAGTAAGGGTGCGAGTGAATCTGGATAAGATGTTGGCTGTTTAACTGGAGATTCAAGCTGCTATTGAGGAGGATGAAGAGCGCAGCTACGAAATAGCAGCACGTCTAGGAGTCGGAGGGTCTCAATTTAGTGGCGTTCTATCATTCGAAGTGTTGCTGGAGATGGCAATTAACAGGCTGAAAGCTTAGCATACACGTTCAGCTGTATTAAATTTTTAATACAGGTCTGATTTCCTACTTGAGCTCGTCCTGTAGGCTCTCATGAATCTTACTTACTTTATCAGCAGTAGCATTGGACGCTTTGCGCTCATTCGAATTACACGATGGTCCATAGCATCCGTAAGCGCATTACCTTCACATCGTTCTTTGAGACGTTGTACTTCTGCCGTTCCACGTTTCCAGTAAGGTAATTGTGTGCCTGGGCTACCACCAAGACACCACAGCTAGCAAAGTCGGGCTGCTGTGGGGCATCAACCCACTCAATTGGGTCGAAAACAACTTTGCTTCATGGCATCGAAGCCTAATGCCACCGCGCTACAAAGTCCACTAGCCCTTCTTTTACCTTGGTTTTGGTGCCATTCTCCTCCAAACTATAGCTTTCATTCCACACTGTCTCCATTTCGTCATGGTATTCGTCGTCAAAAAGAGGTTCATACATGTAAGCATGCGCATGTAGCGGGATTGTAGCTCCATTGGCACCATTGCGGCGCAAACCAACAATAATGATCCCCAGTGATTCTCGTTCAAATGTACTGGGTGGACGATGAAATCGGTGTCTTGCAGCGAGTTTCTTGGGGTTGTCGGCCACCTAAGCGACCACGAGAAAGACGATAGCACGTAGCACTTACCCACTGAAGCTACAATAGTTTCCAAGCAAAATTCGATTGGGCTGTCATTAAGCCACCCACGACATAGCCCACCCACAATGTTATCAAAGCTGATCATTGCTTTCCGTGAGAGCGTTCTAAATTCGATGAGCAGACGACTAAAGGTGAACTTGGAAAAAACCTCGTTCGCGACTCCTGGTGACGAGAACAGATAGCATCGACTGATATGCCTGCCGTCTTCGGCTCATTCGCGAACGAGTTGACATCCTATTCAACAAATCGCCAGTTTTGCTCCAGCCACTTGTGATCTTCCAGCCATCCCCCCCCTTGGCCTTAACGGCGTAGAATCCTGTGAGTGCGAGCACAAATAGGCTAAAAGCATAAATATGTTAAATCAACCATACTAAAACCACCTCATTGCAGCAACCATAATATTTAAGCAGCCTTACCTGCTAAATTTGTGCAGTTTCGGATCAATCGAAGCGACAATATCGAGTAGGACGCCTTGATTCTTGACACGCTCGTCCAGCTCAGGGGGTTGATGCTGTGTATTTCTGGCTTCGCTTGTTGCAGCCTGCATTGAACGGGTGAGGTCTGCCGGAATTACAAATGGGTGCATGTAATCCTTGGTTGGTCGTGCGTCCCATTGACAAACAATTGTGCACGACCTCAGGTAAGAATTCTCCAGCTGGACCGGGTATTTGTTCAGTAACTCCACCACGTACTTGATATTTGAGGACTTACGCGCCCAAACAAGACGCTGGTCCAGTGAAATAGTAAGACCCGTAGGGAATTTGTGAACAGCAAGGCGACGCGACGTCGGAGTAAGCTTAGTTTGTCTCAGTTGCTTGGGTGTTGATCTTAGCCGACCATTTCGTGATTGGTTTGGGACATTGACAAGGTCGACCTGCCGTGCTGTTTCCTCAGTATGTGTACTGCTTGCCTTTGACACATCCTCGCAAACAAATTCTGCGATCGCCGTACAAGGAACTTGTTTTAAATACAGAGGTAGTTCGTGGGCGTATGTCAGTTGCGTTGGTGAAACTTCGTCTTCTGCATCAAATTAATCCTGATTCTTTATATACCCGTCCGTAATAGAGATAACATATTCCCTCGCTTCTACAACTCGCACAGCGTCCATTAGATCATCCGGGTCCACACCCAAATCTTCACTAACACTGTTGCCGTCGGTATGGTCACTTTCAGATGCTGTAGGGTCCGTTGAGGTCTCCTTACTTAGGCCAATTGCCACAGTCTCCTTCCATGCTTATAGGTGTTGGTAGAAATCAGCACTAGATAGATTCGAAAGAGGTTCCAATAAAGGCTCCAGCAATGCTTTTGCGTACACGTACTACTCGGATGAAGATAGAACGACTTGGGATGCACGTTCCCGACGACGAATATGCACGTATGCAACTTGTTTCGGGTCCCTAGCCGATGTGGTAGCCATGCATTGGTCGTCGCCTTGCACATCATCATCAGGAGCGTAAGACAACTTTATTTTCAGCGACTTTAACTTCGTCATTCACACCATTCGCATCAACGAAGAAGATGCAGCCACTAGTTTATCTTTCACTTGCGTCACAGCATTCAAACTCCAGCGCCCGTGAGCAGAAATGAATGGAAGCATTTCAAAACGATGCCCATCCCGTGCCAAGTGTATTAGGTGATGACAGGGCAAGCGGTGACTGCGATAGGATAGGTAGGTGCATGTCCAATCAACATCGTGACACTTGTAGATTTCGTTCTGGCGATGCACCTTCCAACACGAGACGATTATTGTGTCCTTTTCACAATCTGCCTTTTTCATGAGAATAAACCATTTCCACTCCGTTTTACCTTCGCAAATATTGCTGGAGACAACCCAGCAGCAATTGCTCTCAAAAATCTTGGTAAAGTACTGGGCACACGAGTCGTTGAGGACTGTTGCGTGATTGAAAACACAATCTGCTGAGTCACTGTCATTTGACGCTGCAACAGACCAGCAATCGTATTGTCGATGCGAGTTTTGTGTCCCAATAACATTTTCACTTGATTCCAATTGGACTCAATTCTGTTGGTGGTCGGTATTTCCAGCGGTGAAAAGCCCATCACGAACAAAGTTTGCCGATATGTCACGACACAAATTCCAATTTTTGTCGAAATACGCAAATATTGAAGGCCTTTTGGCTCTCCTGCAGTACTGCCGCAACTCCTCATAGCAGTCGTCGTAACCAGTGTTGGGAGAGCTAGTGGATTCCCACTTCAGAAGGTTAGCATAGCGGTTAACGGATACAATATAGAGCCTTACGTATCAGTAGAGCAGGTTTGTCATCATGTTCAGCAGCTCTTCACGTTGAGAAACATTCAGGTGATACATATAGCGTTTCATCTTCTTCTTCTAGTAAGCAATCGCATGAAATGGACACAATAATATCTGCACACTTGGAAAGCTTTTTTTTCAATACACGCCACTCCACGAAATGCTTATCAATCACCACGGATTCTACTTGCTGCCAGCAGGGATTCTTCCCTTTGAAATGCTCCAGTATTGTAGAAATTGTCACTACTTGCTGGTTAAGACACATAAAGTCGACAACGGTGAAGCCTCTGCCTGTAGCGGTAGTGACGACAAGACTCCCTGTGCAGAAAAAAAATTTATAGTTAATCAATGGTTGCTTTATGGTGAATATGGTTGCTATAAACTGGTATGGGTGCCTGAAAAAAAAAGTAGCGATAATTATTGCAAGCAATATTGCGAGCGTACCCAAGTAGTAGCCGGCATTATTTGTTCCATGCGTGAAGTCCATCACCAGCGACTCTCCCCATTGCTTGAACATCATTTTCGGCACCTTGGTTTGCATCACAACGCCGCACGTCACGTTCATCTGATCTTGAATCACCAGTACGCCACTACCGTCAAGATGGCGAAGTGCATGAAGCATATCCTTCTTCCGCCCTTCAGCGGGTTCCTGTCCCAAGATGCTACGTATGCGATTTCGCGTCTACTGAGGCGCTACCATGCCGTCTAAGCCAACAATCGATCACACATCGTTAATGGGTAAATAAATTAAATCAAAACTATACAATACGCATCGATTCGTTCGTTGTGAAAGTTGGTTGTGTTTTGAGGACACACGAGCGTCGGCTAGAGTTTTCACATCTTCGCGATCTTGCTCATCAAGCGGCAACGTTTTGATAGTTACAAACGACAGCGCTCCAGTACGCGTTGTCAACTGAGAATGGGTATGTACCTATTTTAAGACCAGCAATAAATTAGCGGAGCCGTTGCAGGCCAGGATTATTTACATGGAAACACACATGCTATTAATCGTGTCCTCGTCCATGATTTAAATAAAATTCATTACCGCTCTCCTATTTCCGAAATTAAAAAATCGAAAGCATTTCATTTTATATTGTGCCGCCTCCAGATAAGATGCCCTAGGACGCGGTTACCGCTAATGCAACCGGCGCTCGCGGACGTGCCGGCGAACGATGGCTCCTGTCCCGATGCCGAGGCCCGGGCCTCTCCAATACGCAGTGAGGAGGGCAAGTGGCGCCACCTGAACCCCAGGTCGGAGATAGCCCTTTGGAAGGTGGAAAGAGCAAAACCGGCGAGAATCGCAGCAGTGACGGCGAAATGGATGAATCGGAAGGTCAGGCGAGCGATGGAGAGGCGAATGAATATGTAGAGTCTGGGCGTCCGTCGGAAACAGATGGAGCAGACGATGATGACGCTGCAATTACGTCTGTGGACCCACCGGTGAAGTATCACTGCAGTTGGGAAGATTGGCACCAATATTTTGAGGGCTACTGCCAACGTGCGCTGCAGGTAATACCAGTCAAGGAGACCATGTCCAGAGCAGACGTCGCGACGAGTTGTTCTTCTATTTGCGGAAGGGTCGTCTACTTCCTTTGGATGACGCTTCTGGTGCAGCAAACCCCGGCGCAGACGACGACGAGGGAAAAACGAAGGCCCCGAGCGATGAAGACAGTAGGGACAATAACGAAGAAATCCCTTCCACCATTATCGCGACGTTGACAAGCTAATTGTGCTGGTTGTAAGACTCGCTTGCATTAACTACGCTGAATGCATGTCTCTAACTTCATTGAATGCAAGTTTGTTTTATCTTGCTACTTTTCGTAGAGGCAGCATTTTTTTTAAAGGACTTCATCGTAGTGAGAGCTCTTCTAATGCATTTTCAGACAGAACCCCAGACTTCAAGTCGGCTGCCAGGATTAAATCATAGCCAAATACCTGATTAATCATGCTAAATGGACTATCCATTACAGTACAAATCTGTGACCACGACTTAGTCCTGGATTCAACAGGATTAATCCTCGTTATACGATAGCCACACATTTATATCTTCCCACGTCCTCAACGAATCTTCTCGTATCTTCCCCGCTTGGATACTTATTTAAGCTAGATTGTGTCGCCAGGATTATTCTCGACTATTTACATGTATGATTCCACGTCGATAATCCTGACCTCGAACAGCCACCATCAAAGAGGCTTCAATTTTGCGCTTTCGCTATACTAAATTAGTATAGCGAAAGCGCAAAATTGAAGCCTCTTTGCCGTACCTCATTTATGATAATGATACGGTACACACCGGCTTCTGTCTCTGTTACCGTTGGTGTAAACCTCACCTTGCAACCGCAGTATCGTGATTTTAGATTGTGGTGACCTTTGACCGCGATTCTTGTGCTACGCTATGGGTACACCGATACACCCAGTGCGTCCACTCAAACTCCGTCGGCATCGGCTCGACGTGCGAGCTACAGCGTAGTACAGAAAGCTTTACAAAGCTACAAAGATAAATATAGAAAAAACTGCAAATACTATCAATTAGTGCATACATACTGTACGCCACAGTCGTTTCAGAGCTGCGCACACGAAAGTTGAGCTGATTTTTCCTCTTGTGTTCACTGAAAACGTTGTTAAATTCTTCCCAGCTCGAAATCTCCACAGAAGGAAAAGTAACCACGACGCTCACAACTTTATCACAACTGACCGCCATCGCCTCAAGCTCGTCGACATGCTTGCTTGTGCGTTTCCGAGGCGTGTATTCCACGTACTCAGTTATATTTGCTCCACCACTGTCATCGACGACATCACCGCGCAGGGAATCGCGCGACTCTCCCCCCTTGTGTTTCTTCTGCAAGGGCAACACCTCGTGTGGTGAAAAGCGCCGTTTCTTGACACTCTCATTGGTCGTTTCTAAACTAACAAGCCAAGCTCATGTGGTTAGCTACAGACATACGACAACCTTAACATAAAGCGACTTTAGCATAATGTACCGGCTGGATGCTTTCGCCGTTTGGCAAATTTGCATTTTTCGTGCTACTTCTCTCTCTCTATGTTTGTCATGGCAGTCATCGAGCGTCTAGCGTTATTATTATACAGCAGGGAGTATTTCGTAAGAGATATTACCTGGTTCAGGATCGAAATCGTCAAGGTTCCCCTCTACGTCTTCGTCGTCGCTTCTTTCCAGAACGAAGTCTTCATTGCTGTCGTTGTCCTTCTTGATGCCAAGTGTGGCAAGCATGTAGTTCTGATCGACGCACAGGTTCTGTAGCCCGTAGATCCTACCCCGCTGGACGTATGATTTCGGAAATGGACGGCTTTGATTTGCCGAACTAAACTATATCGTACGTAATCGAATACGAACTTTCTAGATCGTATTTAAAAAGGTATGTACAGTAGTACAAAGTAAATTTCACAAGATTTGACATTATTAGATTTATTTTACTATTGTAATTTTTGATATTGGCTATAGCGACCATAGTTGCTTAAAGCGACCTTTAGTCAAAGTCGCCGTAGCCACTCCCCAAGTTGCAACACGATCTTCAATTTACATGTACCGTTCCGGTGTCCGCTTTTGTGTACCCAAATACGTGCCAAAAGTGCCCAAACAATTTAGCATAATTTGCTACCGATTAGGAGGGAGCAACTGACGATTTACGGAAGTGCGTTGACTGGCTCGCAGTCGCGATACAAAAAATAGAATGTACTGGAGTGTGCAATGTGCGGCTCGCTAGTGAGCTCGGCGCTGGGCCCGCCTCCGCAAATTCCGCGCGGTCCTGCTTCACAGGCACCCCGCGCGGGTTTGCTGTGGCTACGCGCCTCTCCCCCGCTCGCCTTAGTCGGTCGAGACAGATTCGTCGCAATTTCAGAGGTAATAGATTATTTTTATGCAGCGTTTTGGGAACCGTTTTAGGCAATTACGGATCGGTTTTTTAGTTTTTTGTAGGTAATTATGCTACATTGTTTGGGCACGTTTTTAGGCACTCAAAGGTACGTTGCTCACTGGATTTGTTGTTTGAGCTGTCTATGAAGGCTAATCAATTCATGGAACATTGATTAGATTGAACACTGCGGTCAAATGTTCGTGAACAAGTCACGCGTCCACTTGACGCATCGGTTGGGAATGGGCCTTAGGTACAAGACAGTGACCGTTTGTGCAGTTTCACTACACCGAGCCAAAAACGAGTTCTGCTAGTCTCTCTGTTACCAGAAATTGAATCTCCGAACGCGTTAGATTTCTTCGTAACTTACGCCGCTCGTTTTGACTCGGTATTTGTAAGATGATGCCTTTTTCACACGAAGATACGCGAGGTTTGGTGTATAAACTCTAAGAGATTAGAGAAGTACAAGGACTGAACAGCCAGGAGGAAAACTAACAAAGCAATAAAAAAATCGAGTTTAACATTTTGCAACATCAATCAGCTTCATCATCTGCATCAGCATCCCCTTCTCGGAGGAGCTCTCGTCGTGTCTTCTTGCGCTGACCAACGTTCCCAGGGTGCCGCAGCACAACCCGTTTGCCTAGCGATTTCAGAATTGCATCACCACACTCGAAGTCCTCGTGCCAGATTTGGTAACAGGTCTTCGACTCGCCGCTATGCTCGCGACGTTCCCTCGGGAATAGTAACGGTTTTGACTCACCGCTGGAGCAGTCCTCACAAAAGCCAGTTGTCTGACACGACTTCTTTCGCTCACATCGTAGCACCGCATATACTTTACAAGAGCGTTGCCGACGCGTCTGCACTCCGGGCCCAGTAGCCTAGCTATCGTATTGGGTATGTATATGCGTAGAGCGCCGCTGGCGCTTTGCACGAGATCGCCTAGAGGCTGCAGAGTAGCCGATGACTGCATTTCACAGGCCCCCGGTTTGATCTGAAGTAGCTGCTTGTGGAAAGTCACATCCACTCTCCCCGTGGCACCGGACCTACTCGATTTATCTCCTTGTTTGCCTATGTGAAATATAGGCCTTGTCAATGGCTAAGTCCACCAAGCCTAAAAATAGTGACCTGTCGTATTTCCTAAATCGAAAGGGTGTTGAATTGAGTAGGATTGTAAGCGGAGTTGATCATGCAGATTAACTCCGCCCATTCAACACTGGTAATTGGTGACGCCCTTTGGACAACGGACCGTTATTGGAACCATATCCTTCCCATTTCGCTGGATCCGATCTTCAGTCATAACAACGCCGGTTGCCAGATAATCCCAGATTTGCGGTCCCACCAGTGGCATACAACCGTGGTAGGGACCACGTCACAGTGAGTAAACGTGAACGTGCCGCGTTCGATCATACGAGGACGAATCTCGCGCTTCTCAATTACTTGGCGGTCGAATACGACTCGGTTCGTCATGAAAGTGCCAATAAAAAAGATTGGTATGTCTAGCAGCTGTAGGGCTAGAGTGAGGAACGAGTAAAAGCAGTCACTGATAGCTAGACGAAACCCACGAGCGTTTTACCAAGAATGGTCTTCGTTTGGGAATGACAGCAGCGGCGTCAGTCGTTTTGTCAACTGACTGACAATCCGACGCTTCCGCTTCACGAGCCCCAACATATACTTTAAAACTGAGCAGTCGATTACGACATAAAAATTTAGCTACAGCTTAATGTCATAAGTTACGACTTTTTTAAAAAATAAAACATGTGGCAATACGCAGTCTTCAATTTGCAAGCCATTAACATCTTTGAGACATAACGATGTGGTTTGTTGGGGATGCACATTCGTGTAGTGTTTCTCCGAGATGTAGGCGGTAGCGCGCCTTCATTAAACGAGAAGACGACTGGGAGAGTCTAACCGGAATTATATTTTTCTTGGAGCACGTCGACTAGCTTCCAAATCTTGTGACGCACATGGGGTCGCTCGCTGTCTGAAAAGTGCAAGTCGCGAAGATTAGAGGTGCAGCGATTCCGTGGCATGTACCTTCCAAAAATACCCGCAGGTATAGCGCCATTTTCTGGCATTGATCAGTGGTTAGAGAATCGACGTGTATGTGGACCCAATATGTGTGCAATCAGTAGTCCAATCACATGAAGGATTTCGGAGGTACCGTATGGTTTCTCGGATCGAAGACGCCGGCTTCTCCGCTGCAACGTTTCCGGAGCTCTCGCCCACCGTTCTCTCAGATGCTTCGGCCGCGTTCGATTAGCATTTAGCTCAATCTGTTGTCTGCTATAGCGGCTTGTCTCCTCCGCAAAATAGTCCGACAAAGCCTTCGGTACAAAATAAAACAACAGGTCCATGGTGAGTCTGCGGCGCAACTCGCGTGTTGGCGTAGCCACTTCCTCAGATAGATTCGAATAATTGTTTTGACCTAATGCAAAGAATGTAGATATAGCACCCCATGCAGTAGCCCACAGGTCCGCCTTGTCAGACTTGTTATTTACAAGTGATCCACCGAACCTTCAATGAGCACATCGTCCACCAGAGCAACTTCACTATCCTACATGGTTTCTTCTTCGGGGTATTCCCAGCGATTCCCGTCGTAGTCTGGCCTCTCGTGGCGCTCTAAGTCGTCAGTATCATGTCCAACATCTGCCGAGCTGTCGCTAGAACCAATCGTCTCGTTAGCGTCAGAGTACTCTTGATCAAATAGAATATTAGCATCGTCATCGCGTATGTCGACAAGGGCAGGTGCTGACCCAGCAGGCTGTATTGGGGTCATCCTTGCGTTTGTGCATAGCTGCTGACTGCTAGTCACCTCGGACTCTGCTTCAGATAGCAGTCGCTGGAAATCCCCAACAACACTTCTTAATCAGATTTCTTCACGGGTAGCAAATCACGTGGTGGTACCTCGAACGCTCTAGCGACAGCATTGTGACAGCTCGCAAGCCGCGCATTTCACTCCCACCTCATCTCTGTCTAAACCAAATAGCGTTTCGATTGTCGGAGCTGTCAAAACCATCGAGCTGTCAATCTACTTCGCAAAACCGATGTCGACGGCGTCACCAGCGTGCAACGCATCCCCCATCCCCAGCGTTTACCTCATCGCCATATGCATCGTGCTCCAAGAGGGCCTCTAACGCTGGGGCTAATAGCGCCAGCGAACCGTCAATCTGCGATGCCAGAAGGGTGTTGGAGACATCATCACGTCGCCATCTTGGTCGTCACTCTCTTCGTCGACGTAGATGATTCCAAATTAGATTGCAAATGTTACGACAGCACCTTCACCTTCACGTAAACAGTAAGTATATGTTCGCCGTAAGCTCGTTTCTACATCGTACACCGATAAAGGAGTTGATCCCCTCCTCGGGCTTATCAGAGTCAGGATTGGCGGGTAATACGTCCAGTGCCTGTATTCGTGGTAAATATCGACAGGCGGTATCGCACGATAACAGCATGCTGGTAGCTTTCTGGTGCGACAGAAGCGTCATCACCATTATCTCAAAAGGCGAGGCCACTGCAGTTTCCACCTGCACACGTCTTGTTTGGTCGCAAAGAACAAACTTTTCCAGTACATTGGCGTGTCGCTTAGTACAACGCTTACATGAAACGAGTTGACAGGCTCGGTTAGATAAGGGGGAGGCTCCCGACGGCGAATAAATATTCATACAAGCGCTGGCATAAAACGTTAGCCTTACCGCTTTTAGATGTCATAAATCGAACGCACATTTTCCGCTTCGACTAGACAGAACAAGATCGAGTCGAGACCCACACAGATAGTTTGTAATAGGGCTCACCGGCTAGCTGACAAACGGGCGACGGGTAAATACACCGAGTGAAGGACGTTGGCTGTACTGTGGAGCGATTTGTGAGGAGGAGTAAGTGGTCATGCACGATACACGGTATTCGCAGTGATCGACGCCAAAGTTCGCGTTGCCAGCTACTTTGGGTGCGTGTATGTCGTCACGACATATTTATATCAGCAGGCAACGAAAGCTTCGTCGCTATATAGTCTGCTGGTGTGAAGGGCGATATCTTACAGAGGTCACGAATAGCTGGCAAATGCACCGTGTCTGCTTATGTTGTGTAGCTCACGACTATCCTGCGGATCCCTAGATGTGCCCAGCAGCAACGTCCACGTGTTGGAATATCCTAACCAGCTCGATTACTGTCAAGTTTAATCTGCGGCGTCCCCTAACGCTCGCGAAGTTGAAAAATACTGCAGCACCAAAGTCATCAAGTACAAGGACAGAAGTTCGCTAAATGCACCTGTAGTTAGTCACCAGATCCAATTCAATAGAAAATATTGAATATGAATCGACCTCTTTTAATACACATTTAGGTAGGTATACGTTTCAAGCTTATAATCGGGATGTACACGATAGCGTGCTAGCTTTCAATTACATCGAGCTTGTATGATGCCCACAAGACCCCAACGCCATTTTACCCAGGACATTGGACGTTGCGCGATATCGTGGCGATGTCACTGCCACAACGCGTGTCCTCCAGAGAGACTCAAGCTCTCTGCTAACGACCAACTTAGTATCTTCCCCAAAGAGAAAGGTGTTCGCGAACACGAATGTAGCGTGGCACATTGACAGCCGACTGGAAGTGTCAACATATCTTACGTGGGCAGACTCTATCCGTTTATGGGAGCGGCCACATGTGTATTTTCATGCATTCTTTTCGAATCGAGCAGGCATCATGCCGAGCTTTGACAATGCAACTTGCGGCAGGTGTCATACGTGCTACCTGTGCGGTAGCGTTGCTAGTGCCAGCACCAGCATTGAAAACCACGTCCGCTTTCTGAGATGGAGCTATTTCCAAAATCAAATTTTGCAACATCGACAGGGGAAAACGCGCCAGTATTATCAGGGTTTTTCCAGCTACTGCCGAGCACTTTGAGCTCTTACGCTCTAAAATATTTCCGCCCATTGCATTGATTGACCGCCCGGGGTTCAACACCTAGAACTGGCAACTTCCTGTGGTTCCGCCAGGTGCAGCAAACCTTGCCCTTAAACAGCGATTTCGCCTTATCCTAGCGATCGTTCTTCCGGTGGAGCTAGTCCCCCGCGTACGGCACGTCCTCTAGACGCAACACCAGTAGGTGTGTCGATGAATAGCCCCGTTCGTTGCTGTCGTTGATGGCTTCCTCCGAGAAAAAGGGATGAAAGTCGCGAATTAGCCTGCCGTAGGCTCGTTTTAGTCTACGAAAGCGTAAGCGAAGCTTGCCAGCAGGGAGATTCGTCCTCACGCAGTGGGTAACATAATCCCACGTAATTCAAATGCCGGTGTTCTCGAACTGGAAGGCAATCTGGACCAGTGTCTTATCTTCGGCGTCTGTAAGCGCTGTACATATGTGACTTCAGTTTTGCAAGCTAATAACAGGTCACAAACACGTAACGTACATCTGTTATTATTTAATGGATATATCAGACCCAGTCGTCCAACTTCTGGGGGGGGCTTCGCTTTTGCACGTGCTGCACGGGCTTCTTCAGACAGGAATTTCCTCCCGGTATATTCCGTTAGGCATGCTTATCCGGCTGACTTGCCGGTTTCTCGGTAAATCGAACTATGTTTAATCTTATCTACCAAGATATCCCCTTCTGGTTTTTTTTTCATGTGTTTTTGCTTTGATTTGGTTCTACTA